TATGTCTGTTTGTTTTCTCCCCCTATTTTAAATTTTTTTATATATATATATATAATAATGCATATATACACGTGTGTGTATATATACACATTAGCTCAAAAGAGAACACTTGTACACAGTGGTACAAGGGACAGTTACAGCTCTGGCAGGATGCAGCTGAAACAATCAACAAATCTAAAACTTGTGTAATATTTAAAAAGCTTTCTAGGTGGACAACATACATTTTATAAGCTGACACTTAAGATCTCAATTATTACGACTGATTGCAAGGCAAATGGCTGCTAATAACTAACTTGTAATCCAAAATTATCATGGACATATTCTTTTAAGTGAGATGCTACCTAAGTTATGGACCACACAGCGGTTTAGAGAAGAATAATGGTTTTATTCCTAACCAATGCATTTCACCATCTATAGAACACCTTCATCATCAATTAGTAAAGAATTTTAGGATTTGACAATGCAAACAAATGGCAGCCCCCCGCCCCTTTTAATCTAACATCTATGTACTTAGAATACAAGAAACCAGAAGGCTTCAATTCAACTACTGCTGTTTTGGAATATAATCTAAAGCGGCTTCATCTTACAAAGAGCCTTGGCTTTGAACAAACTTTGTAAAAGCTTTTTGTATTCTCTACTCTACCATTTACTGCTTAATACCTTTAGAAACTCCCATTTTCTATTCTCTTTCATTACTGTCACCTATGTTTTGCAGTACACAAGGCAGCAGTACCTCCTTTTTTGTACACGAACACTATCAATGAAGCAGCAGAGCCCTAGAAATAACCTGGCTCTGCAATAGCGCAGAACCAAACACGGTAGGCTACACGTGGAGGAGCAATGCCCAGTGACAGAACGGGAGGTGTACAAAGGATAATTAAAACCAAAACGATATTTTGGAATAGACATAAGTCCTTGCATGTTTTTTTTTAGGCTTATCCCTTGGGTTGCCCATGCGCAAGTTAAAATCCAAACATTTCATTTCCTTGAAGAAAGTCAACTAGTGTTTCTATTAAGGGCACGAAGGAACAGAAAGAGAAACAATTTCTACTTCCCACTAAACAGTGATCAAGCCCAAGGTGACTGAGAAACTCAGATTCATCTCTCTAAACCGTTTTTTTTTAATGTGTTAACAGCAGTCTTTGTAAGTAAAATATCTGAAGCAGGATAAGGTTTGATGAACTCAAAGTTAAGTCATTCACAACCTCACACTATAAAAAAAAAGAAAAAAGAAAATATGAGCAATGCGAAAGGAAGTTACAACACTGGTAGAAACACAGACTCTCATTTTACCTCTCAAAAAACCACTTTAGTGTTCCTAGTATCCGAGCTAACCCAGGCATCACAGTGTAACAAAGCACTGTGCACCACAAACATGCTTTGTGCCTGTTCTAGGATCAGTAAGGATACACAACCAAGAAGCACACGATGTTTCTGGCTAAGTGTACAATTTCAGTCTTCACCAAAGTTTTCTATATATAATTATCTTGAACTTATAGCTGCTGAAACTAAGAGAGGTCAAAGCTAGGCAAAAATCACACAAACGCCAGAAACAGAATCTGTCAGATTTAACTACAGCCTTTGGACTTTATTAAATTTCTAAATGGCTGAGCCGTATTTTATAGCTCGCTTTATTTATAGCGGCAGAAAGACAAACTACTAATTACATTAAGTGGGAAAAAGGTACCTGTCCCTAAAAGACCTATGAGAAAGAGCGAAGGACAGCATGAAAGGAAAAAGCTGTATCATCTCATCTTTGGGCTTACAAAAGTGCTGGAGAATGGATCTGGTGTAACGCGGAAGAATGAGGTTTTATTACGTTCATTGGCAAACAGATACATTTGAAAGTATGACTAGATATATGAGGCTTAATCATTGAGGGAGAAACTGCACATCTGTAATAAATGTCTGTCACGGACAGCTACGTGATACTCTCAATAGGTTGTAATTCATGTTGCTCAAGACGTTAACAAGTCTTGCTTGGTCAGCAGACTACGGAAATTGCTCTGAGGGACGATTTCTATACAAGTGGGATGAAAAAAAAAGTACACATTGAAAACATTCTAATTCACTTCTAACGAGAGTTTTTTAATACCTGAGAAATTCTTAGCAAATCCTTTTACTTGTTCGTGTCCTTCCACTACCTCGTCAAGTCAGATTTTTGGAGAACATGAATGTTCCCCTGGAAGAATCATAGCAAATATTAGGAACAGAATACAATTTATAAACCCTTGTTATGTGAGCATACTAAGGCCAACTGGGGCTCCTCATTCTTGAGCTTAGTCTCAAAATACAAGGCAGAACAATGTGGAATGCATTATACAAGTGAAAATAAGAAGAATAAAACAGTAAATGACATGTAATGCTAGCTTTTACTTTCCCGGTTCATCACCTGGGAAGGAAAAGAGCTTCAGGTCTTTTCTCTACAACAAAATACACTATAATTAATAACTTCTAATCAAACTGTGTTTGTGCTCACACAGTGCATTGTAATATACACAACTAATTTTCACACTACCAAACAGAAAAAATGATTTCTTGGCCTATTTACATCCACAAATACAATTCAACAAGTACTTAAGTACAGAAATGCAATCTTTGGTGACTGCATAAAAGATTTAAGGAATTTTATACTAACAATGATTACGTGCAATTTCCAGAACATGGATACAAAGAGGCAATAGTTAAGCTGGATTTGCTCTTGCTCATTTTTGTGAGATTTTACCCCAAAGCATCATAAACAACTATTTGCCCTTTTCCAGAATATTTACGCTGCGTTTTTAATGAAAACATTGGAAAAATGTACTTGTGCACAAGGTGCAGCCATCACAAGGCAAAAAGCTATGTAAGATGTTTCAGAGGTACAAGTTACACAGCTCAGATTTGAAAAAAAGGACCTTGGAGAAGAGGCTCAGGGACTTGTGCATTCAAATTCACCGTAAGTCTCTCTCTGAAGATCACCATCAGTGCAAGAGGTACCGAGGTAAAGTCCATCGGTGCGTGCACACTTACCGCATACCAAGAAGCGACCAGATCTCCGATGTGGATGTCCGCTGATAAGAACAGCCTACTAAGCTTCCTTTCAGTAGTATCAAACTCAAACGGGGAGTTTGATACGGCTCAACCTGTTGGCACTGGCTGCATCCCAAAGAAACCAGGGAGCGTTGATGCGACTCCCTGCCATCAGCGTTTGCCCAACACTGCCGAAAAAACGGAAGGCAGGAGCCGCTCGCCCAGGGAGAGGCGGCGGAGCAGGAAATACCGTTTCGGATTCAGAGCCGTGTTTTGGATCCAGAGCCCCGGCCTGTTTCCGAGAG